ATCATTTAGTCATTTAATAAATTATTAAAGATGGTAGTCAAAGAAATCCTCTAAAAGAAGCACTCATCATCAAAGTTCTTACTTGAAAACAGCAGAATCCACTGTAGCTGATTTAAGCAGAAAGAAACTTACCAAAGGATGTTAGTGGCACTCAGTCCCCTGGAAGGGCCAGTCCATAGATTCAGAGGCCATAGAATCAGGAATGATGTCCAAACCACAACACTCTTGCAAAGATCCACTGCCATGCACCGATGTCATTGGAAACTGGATGCTGAAATCTCCACTCTACTTTCCTGGAAAAGCCAGTTGCCTATCAACAATCTCTCCCAAACCGGAGTCTGTAGTTGCTCATTTGCATCTCAAAGCCTCATGCAAGTGCAGTGTATCTGAAAGGTAGAACCGAGGCTGGACATCCACACCCCAGCCACAGGGAAAGCTGGCAGAGTGACTTAAGTCTGCTGTGAAGTGCGGGTCTCGTGATGTCGAAAAAGAACACTTGAAAGATAGTTGAAGGGCAAAGCACATGTGTGATAAATATCCACCCTGGAGGGTGACATTTGAACTGAGAAAACAGAATGAGAAGGAGTCAACCATTTGAATAATGAATGGAAGAGCTTCTAAAAGAAGAAATGGCATGTGTGAAGGCCCTACTGCCAAGAAAAGAGCTTAGCATATTCAGGGGACCAAGAAGACCAGTGATACTTGGTCCCAGGGAGAAGAGAGGCAGGAGAGGAGGCAGGGGCTGGATGCTGCACAGTTGTGAGGGTCATAGTGCTTGTTTTCTTAGTACAGATCCTCTCTAGGCCTTACAAAGGTGTCCCCGTGGTATACGACTTGACTGAAGGGTGGTGCAAACCCAGCAGCTATTCCATGGAGAAAGACGTGGCCATCTGCTTCTGTGAATAGGGGAAGCCTCTAATGCAGTTCTCCTCAGCCCTGGAAGGTTGCGTTAGCTCAGAACCGGCTCCATGGCTGTGGGTAGTCCCTTCAGCATGCCAGCAGGTTCAGTAACGGTCATCTTCATCTGAGCTGGCAGGCCAGGCTCTTTCTGCATTCTCATCATGTTGCATCTCCAGCTAACAGGAGAGCTTGTTGGTAAAGCCAAGCCAGTCTCCTTGCATTTATTCTCAGCTCTAACACAGATCAATGAGGCCAGTTAAGAATGAGCTTTGAGGCTTCTCTGCGCCCCAGAGTGTTTACTTTCTAACAAATCCCAGAAACTGTCTCACAAGTTAAAGATCAGTAACCTTTAGACAACCAGCTGCATGATACACGGGAAGTTCTTCCTGCCTTTTCTTGCCCATTCAAATATTACATTTCTATAAAAACAAAGCAACTATTGTTGGGGCTGGTGGGCTGCTTGTCTGCCACTTTGTGGGCCATCTGTTTAGCATTGCCAAACTCCTACTCATCGTTAAAGACAGAACCCAAGTGTCTGCTCTCTTTGGGAATCCTCCAGCTCTCCCCGAGGCAGCACCAGTCATTGCCCACCCTGGGCTCCTGTGATGGTCTCATACGGCTGCTGCTGCTTGTTGGGTGTCCTGAAGCAATTCCCTGGTCGTCTTGACTCCATGAGACAGAGTGAACTGCTAGTGGGAGAGTTATTACTTACTAACTATACACTCTCCCCTTCGTGCATAGAAAAAGTAGCTCTGCCAAGAATAGGAATACAGATAGAAAGCAACGTTCTTTGATGGTTACCAGGGAGGGAGAGAACAGGGAACGACTTGCAAGATCGTAGACACTTGACATTTCTGGGGATGGAAGAGGCAATACACGATCTGAGGGAAATCAGCATAACCGGACCAGAGTAAATGAAGACACTGAGAGATACACAACAGAGAAGTCCTGATGTGGGCTGTGGGTTAATACGGCGGACCGCAAAGTCGGCGTGAACCACACGCTCACCAGCTGCTTCTCAGAAACCCTATACAGGGTCACTATGGGTCGGAACCAACTCAACGACACTTAACAACAACAACAATAGGAGTTCTGATGTGGCGCTGAAGGCTAGGCACTAGATTGCAAGGTTGGTTTGAGCTGCAAGGTTAGTGGTTCAAACTCACCAGCCACTCCTCAGAACTATACAACTATACAACAGAACTATACAACCCTATACAACTCAAATGCATGTAACAACCACAACAACAATATAGGAAATGTTGTAACATACACCGTTTTGCAACAACAATAATGACAACCAAAAGTATGTGTGTGGTTACACACATACCAAAAGTATGTGTGTAAGCTATCAAGTTGATTCTGACTCATCATGCCCCTGGAGGGTTTCCTCGTAGAGTTTCCGAGGCTGTAATGTTTCCAGAAGCAGAATACCACATCTTTCTCCTGTGGAGTGGCTGGTGGGTTTGAACTTTCCAGTTGGCAGGTAAATACTGTACTGTCAGGGCTCCTGTGTATGTGTAGGATGGCATATGTGAGTACATGTATGTGCACATACAGGTATATTTGTAAGTATAAATATGTACATGTGTGGGCGTGCTGCATGTATTCATATATAATAAAACCCATAAGAGGCTTGGTTACCGAGAACCCCTAGACATATCCAAGCACCTCACAGGATTGGTTTACTGGGGGCTAAAGGGCTTGGTTTAAGGAGCTCTGGTAGCATAGTGGTTATGAACTGGGCTGCTAATCTCACAGTTTGAAACTACCAGCTGTTCCGCGAGAGAAAGACAAGGCTTTCTGTTCCTGTAAAGATTTACAGCTTTGGAAACCCTGTACAGGGTCACTATGAGTCGGCACTGACTCCACGGTACATAACAACAACAACAACAAAGGGCTTAGTTTACTGGGGGAGCTAAAGAGTCTTGGTGTGAGTTAATGCGCTGGGCTGCAAAGTCGGTTTGAACCTAAAGGTCAGCGGTTCAAATTCCCCAGTCACTCCTCAGAAACCCTATTCAGAGTTGCTATTGGTCTGAACCAACTCAATGGCACTTAACAACAACAACAACAAAGTGCTTGAGACCATAGTCTCATGGGACAACTTAGTCAGTTGGCACAAAGGTAATATTCTACTTCCTAGTCTGGTTAGTAGTGTCTGGGGGCAGTTCAAACCCACCCTGTGGCTCCTTGGAAGACATCCTTGGTATTCTCCTTCCAAAAACCCTATAGAGCAGTTCTACACTGTATACAAGGGGTGTCCTGGAGTCAGAATCAACTCCATGACAACTAATGACAATGATGTGATCTCCCTGCTAGACAGGGCAGGAGCTAGCTTTCTCTTTCTGCCCCAGCACCTGGCATGTTAACAGTTTTGCTCATTTAAAAGTCCACTGAAGGTGGTGGTGGTTATGTGCCATGGAGTCGGTTCCGACCCATAGCGACCCTGTGCAGGGTTTCCGAGGCTGTAAATCTTTACGGGAGCAGAAAGCCTCATCTTTCTCCCGCGGAGCAGCTGGTAGTTTCGAACTTCTGACCTTGAGATTAGCAACTCGTAACCACTACGCTACCTCTCGCTAACAGCTTTAATAACGTTTTCTTCCTGTTTCTTCCCTTGAGACCTCTTCCATAATTGATAGAAGTTTTTCATCTAAGAATTCAGAGAGGAACACACGCATGCAGAAGACTACCAAAGGTACTACCTGGTTTCTCCTTTTCTTTAACAAATAGAAGTTTATTCTCTCACAGTTTTGTTGTTGTGTTGTTGTGTGCCGTGGAGTTGGTTCCGACTCATAGTGACCCTGTACAGGGTTTCCAAGGCTGTAAATCTTTATGGGAGCAGAAAGCCTCATCTTTCTCCTGTGGAACATCTGGTAGTTTTGAACTGCTGACCTTGCAGTTCTCAGCCTGATTCGTAACCACTATGCTACCAGAGCTCCTTTCTCATAGTTTAGGAGGCTTGTTGTTGTTGTCAGGTGCCATTGAGTCGGAACCGACCCATAGCGACCCCATGCACAGCAGAACGAAACAATGTCCGATCCTGGGCCAACCTCACTACCGCTGCCACACTTGAGTCCATCAATGATGCCACCTGGCTGATCCATCTCATTGGGGGTCTTCCTCTTTTTCTCTGACCTACCACCTTACCAAACATGTCATCCTTCTCCAGCGACTGTTCCCTCCTGACAAAATGTCTAAAGTATGAGAGACGAAGTTTAGCCATCTTGGCCTCCAAGGAGCTCTCTGGCTACACTTCTTCCAAAACGGATCTATTGGTTCTTTTGGCAGCCCATGGCACTTTCAATATTCTCCTCCAACGCAATAACTCAAAGGCATCAGTTCTTCTACGGTCTTCCTTATTCACTGTCCAGCTTTCGCATCCATATGAGATTATTGAAAATACCTTGGCTTGGGTCAGGCACACCTTAGTCCTCAAGCTGATATCTTTGCTCTTCAACACTTTAAAAAGGTCTTGTGCAGCAGATTTGCCTAACGCAGTATGTCGTCTGATCTCTTGACTGCTGCTTCCGGGAGTGTTGATAGTTGATCCAAGAAGAATGAAGTCCTTGACAACCTCAATCTTTTCTCCATTGATAAGAATGTTGTTTATTGGTCCAGTGGTGAGGATTTTTGTTTTCTTGACATTGAGATGCAATCCATATGGAAGGCTGTGCTCTTGGATCTTCAACAGTAAATGTTTTAAGTCCTCTTCACTTTCAGCAAGCAAGGTTGTATCATCTGCTTATCGCAAGTTGTTAATGAGTCTTCCTTCTATCCTGATGCCACGTTTTTCTTCATAGAACCCAGCTTCTCAGATGATTTGCTCAGCATACAGGTTGAATAAGTGTGGTGACAGAATACAACCTTGATACACACCTTTCTTAATTTTAAAACATTCAGTGGTGGGCGAATCTCACTAGTGTCATTGTCTCCTCTGTACACCTAGCTACTGAATGGCTGAATTGAGCCATGGTGGTGAACTCATTTCCAAACCTGAAGGGTAACCAGGGCCTTATATAGTCTTGAGGTTCCATCAGCTTCTATCTCACCAAAAAGCCTGACCTCTTTTATGACTCTGAGTTTTTGTTCCACATTTTCCCCCTACTCTATACAGGACCTTCTAGTGTGATCCCTTTCAGAGTAGTTGGTAATGGTAGCGGTAGTTCTTCTGGTCTTAGGGTGGTGGTCCATTAGTCCATTGGACTAGTTGTTTCCAAGCATCTTCAATTTTCATCACTTTTCTTTCCTTGGGACAGGGAGACACCAGTAGCTGCACCTTAGATGACCACTCCTGAGCTTTGAAGATCTTAGTTTCTACTCCTTAAAGTAAGATGTAGAGCATTGTCTTTGTGGACTCTATTATTCTCTGCTTGTCTTTTAAGATCTTCTGTTAACCTTTTCTTTTAGATAAACCATAGTTCTATGTGAGAGTTGAGTCTTTTTTTCTTGTCTTTTTTAACACAACATCCTTTTTGATGTTGCCCAGTGTTTTAGAAGCCTCTGTATTGCTCCTTTTTTGTTCTTTGTGCTGTATCCTGTAGAGAATTCTCTCATGGCACTCGATTCCCTCTGATACTTACTATTTAGGTCTTTTTCTCTGATTAAACTATGAGTTTTCTGGAGATAGTCTATTTCCAGCACTTAACATGGGCCCAGCACATAGCAAATACTAAGTAAATGTTTGTGGATGGATGGATGGATAGACATAGAGATGGAAAGATAAATAAATAAATGGAGAAATATATGGGGGTAGGTGTATACCTGGTTAAAATTCAACTGATATTGTATGAATTTACCTGTGCCATTTCCTGCAGCATCTCTCAATGATCTGAACACATTTTCAGACTAATTAGAAGATGAGAGCTTCCTTATGATCATTTCCATCACAGCTGGCATATTCCAAGTAACTTCTATTTTATTTATTTATTTGTTGCTAACATTCTATTGACAGAACATTACCGTCAAACAATGCTGTTGAGGAGAGTTACTAATCAAGTCAAAAGAATATCAGCAGCAAGACAACATGACCCTTTGTTGCCAAAACCGGTGAGTCCATGATTGGAAATTTAACAGTAGATTTGGTTTTTAAAAGGATGAGAGATGTGGCTAGAAACCTGAGCTCTGTGGAGATGCTAGGGTAAATAAGAATTGAGGTATTGTTGATATTAGGTGGAAAGATACAGAAATCTCCTAAGAGTAATTTCTGACAGAGGGAGGTACAAGTTGAGGGAGTGTTTTGTCTGGATTTCTTCAGGAGTTTAAATTGTGTTGTTGTTAAGTGCTGTCAATTCAGTTCCGACCCATAGCGACCTTGTACAGGGTTTCCGAGGAGTAGCTGGTGATCTTGAACCTCCAGCCTTGCTGTTCAAACTGACTTTGCAGGTCAGCACATTAATCCACAGCACAACACTGCTACTTGAAACTCGGAAACCTGGGTGTAACACAGAGAGAGTGAGAGAGTGCTGTCAACTTCCTTTGCTCAGGTTCTTTCATTCCGCTGAGCCTCAGTTTCCTACTCTATAAAATGGGATAATAATTCCAGGTCAAGGATTTTTAAGAGGTAGCGATGGAGTGATGATGATTAACGTTTAATGAGTACTTATTCCTTGTCAAGCATTCTCCCCTGTACACGCAGTGTTTTATGTGACCGGCCAAGTCCTTTGGGATAGTTACTATCATTATTCTGTTTATTAGTGAAGGAAATGTTGCCCAGAGCAGGTCACAAGTTTTTCCAAGATCACAAAACAAGTAAAGTGATGAAGCCAAGGCTTACGTGGAGGCCATTCTGACCTCGCGTGGTCCTACACCATCCTCACACTTGTCGCTGTCCACTGGTGCTGCCTCTGTGGCCATCCATCTTGTTGGGGCATCTTGCCTTTACGGTTCTTAATATATGCTGTAAAAATGACAGTGGTCTTTATTATTTCCCCTCTTTCCTCCCCATCTAGTCTCACCCTGCCTGCAAGAGCCCTGAGATGACTGAAAACTACTTCAACATTTATGGGAAGAGCCCGTTGGTTGTATACTTCCTCTACAACTACTCCACTCTGTATCGGCACGGCCAGGATGTGCTGATGGTCAGGAGGGAGAAGACCAAGACCATCCCATATCCTTGCCACCTGTGAATGGGCCCATGTTTCTCCAGGCCCTGCCTCTCCTCCCCAGAAACCAGAGCTCAGGAGAGAGATCCAGCCCTCAGCATAGCATGTAGTGGGTGTTGGTCAAGAGTGAGAAATAATGGTTGTTAGCCAAGAGTGACCATTGATAGGAGTGTGAGGATCAAATCTTGCTAATTTTACTTGTAAATCTGTTTTATGAACTAGCTGTGGGACCCTGGACAAGTTGAATTTCCCTATATACAAACTTGCGTTTTTCCCATCTAACTTCTAAATCTGCCTCATGAACTGGCTGTGGGACCCTGGGTAAATCCACCTTTTTTCCCCATCAACTAGAATAAGTGGGCTAACTCGGTATTCTAACATACTTTGAAATGAAATAATGCTTCTAGGTGCTCAAAAGGGGTCCTGGTGCGGCACTGTAGGGTAAGTACTGGATTCCTAACTGCAAGATTAGCAGTTCAAACACACCAGCCGCTCCTCAGAAACCCTATACAGGGTTGTAATGAGTTGGAACTTCCCTTGATGAGCATTCAACAACAACAGATACGCAAAACGACCTCAGAGCTGCATAGTAACCAGGAGTTCTGGTGGCCACATATATATTCCATGTAACGTCCTCCTCACACATACCCCACCCCCATGTTGATGCTGTGTGCTGTCGAGTCACTTCTGATTTACAGCAGCCCTTTAGGACACAGTAGAACTGTAATACTCTGGTAGTGTGGTGGGTTACGAGTTGAGCTGCTAAGTACAAGGTCAGCAGTTCGAATCTACCAGCTGCTCCATGGGAGAATGATGAGGCTTTCTGCCTCCATAAACACTTTACAGCCTCACAAACCCTATACAGGCTCGTTATGAGTTACAATCAACTCCACAGCACATACCACCAATATTTTCATCATTATTGTTTTGTTATGGTTCTTGAGGGTCGCCATGGGTCAGTACCGACTCGACGGCACTTAACAACAGTGTGGCACTGTAGGATAAGCACTAGACTGCCAACCGCAAGGTCAGCAGTTCAAACCTACCAGCCACTCCTTGGAAGCCCTATAAAGGTTGTTATGAGTCAGAACCAACTTGACGGCACTTAGCAACAACAACAATGGCTATAATTTTTATGGGAGCAGATTGCCAGATCTTTTCCATGCTAGTGGGTTTGAACCACTGACTTTTTGGTTATCAGGTAAACACTTAACCACTGAGCCACATATATCTCTCCTTTATTGTTGTTAGGTGCCATTGAGTTGATACCGACTCGTAGCAGCCCTGTGTGCAACAGTACAAAACCCTGTCCAGTCCTGGGCCAACCTCACAATCGCTGCTACGCCTAAGCCCATTGCTGCTGCCACTGTGCCAATCCATCTCTTTGGGGGTCTTCTTCTTCTTTTTCTCTGACCCTCCACTGTACCAAACATGATATCCTTCTCCAGGGACTGGTCCCTCCTGATGATACATCCAAAGTATGAAAGACGAAGTCTGGCTATCCTGGCTTCCAAGGAACACTCTGGCTGTACTTCTTCCAACAGAGATTTTGTTTGTTTGTCTGGCAGTCCATGGTACTTTGAATATTTTCCTCCTGCACCATAACTCAAATGCATCATCCTTCTATGGTCTTCCTTAGTCATCGTCCAACTCTCACATGTATATGAGGTTATTGACTTTGTCTTCTCAAGCTGCCCTTTGAAACTTTCTGTTAATCTCTTTTACCTCCTCATTTCTTCTATTTGCTTTAGCATCTCTGTGCTAGAGGGCAAGTTTCAGAGTCTCTTCTGACATCCATTTTCCTTCTTTCTTGTCTTCTTAATGACCTTTTGCTTTCTTCCTGTATGATGTTCTTGATGTCATTCCTGGCATAGTAAACCATGTGATTGTCAGGTTAAAAATGTCCAATACCTCCTTCATACCTATCAGCAAATCCCTGACGACATTCCAACTCATATTGACCCTCTATAGGGTTTCTGAAAAGGAGCAAATGGGTTTGCACTGCTGACCTTGCAGTTAGTAGTCCAGTGCTTATCCTACAGCATCACATGAGGACTCCAAAGACATTGTAGTATAACAACAGCCTCAGTTTGGGGATTTGAATCCCAGTTCAACAACCACTGACCTTGAGATCTCATGCATTTGACTTTGTCTCAGAGCTCAAAGTTTTAAAACTTTGTATTGTGAATTGAGTGAACATTTACAGACAAGATCATCAGTTTTACATTCAACAAATCATACGCTTTGTTTCATTACAATGATTATAATCCCCTTCATGTAACAAAAGTTATCCCATTTCCTCTTTTGAACTCTGTTTCCATTCTACCCACCTTTCCATCCCTTCTCAACTTTGTCCTTGGGTAAATGTTGCCCCTTTGATCCTGAATGATTGACCAGTCCATGCTGAGAATACCTTACTAGTGTTGTCTCCCCATATTCCTATGTACTGTCTGATTTAAAGTTGCCATGAGGGTGAGTTCCTTTCCGGACCTGAAGGGGGGTCCAAGGCCGTAGTCTCAGGTTCTCCAGTCTCTTTCGGACCAGTAAACCCAGTCTTTTTCTTTAAAAAAAAAAAAAAAATTTAATTTGCTCCACATTTTGTCCCACTCTATCCAGGACTTCTAACGAGATCCCTTTCAGAAGAGCTTAATATCTATTTTGGACTGCTAACTGCAGGTTGGAAGTTCAAACCCACTAGCTCCTTGGAAACCCTACCATAGGGTTGCTCTGAGTTGGAACAGACTCAATGGCACTTAACAACATCAACGACAGAATAAGGATGGAGCCTGGTGACAGTGAATTAAGCATTGGGATACTAACCAAAGGTCAGCAGTTCAAACCCACCAGTTGCTCCATGGGAGAAAGGCTTTCTGCTCCCATAAAGATTTACAGTCTCAGCCACTCTAGAGAGCAGTTCTCCTCTGTTCAGTGGGGTTGCTGTGAGTCAGAACTGACTAGACAGCAGGAGAACAGTTATGCCAAGTTAATAGCATTCTGACTAGGAGTTAGTGGCATATGACTGCCTATTGTTGCTGTTAATTAACAGTTGAGTCAGTTCCAACTCATGTGGTCCAGTGCATTATCCTGCAGTACCGCACCAGTAGTCCATATAACTGATACTACAATGAAAAGTAGTAGTAGCATTAATACCATAAACCAAACCTACTGACACCAAGTCAATTCGGACGCATAGCAATACTACGGGATAAGAAGAAGTGCCCCGTGATATTCCCAAGGCTGGCATCCTATGGAAGCTGCTTCTGTGAAGCAGCTGGTGGGTTGGGACTGCCAGTCTTTTGATGAGCAACCTAATAACCCCATATCAGGTCAGTATGATTGCCCTTATTTTATAGATAAGGAAATGGAGACATTGAGGTCCCACAACTCCTGACCAATAGAGCTGAGATTCTAAATAAGCTGATGAACCTGGGAGGTAGGAGGCAGAGGAGGATTTTTCAACCTACAAACATGAGATGGGGAAAGAGTACCAGGGCCAGAAAGGCGAGGAAAGCTGAACCTTCTTCCTGCTGCTCATTGTGAAAATAGAGGAACTCAGATGGCAACCTCAACAAGCATTTCCCAGCCCTTCCATCAAGGAGCCATGGTGGCACAAATGCTGGCTGAGTGCTCAGCTGCTAACCAAAAGGTTGGTTGGTGGTTTGAACCCACCCAGGCACTTTAGAGGAGAAAGGACCATCTGTTCCTGCAAAGTCTACAGTCTAGGAAACCCTATGAGGCAGTTCTACTCTGGGACACTGGTTGCTATGAGACAAAATCAACTCAGTGGCATCCAGTAACCACACTGCAGCCCTTCCATCAGCAGGAAGGGGAAAGCTTTATGGAAAGGTGGGTCAGAGCCTAGCCAGAGAGGAGGAGCCTCTTCCTTTCCCAAGCATGCAGTGACCAAGAGCAGAGGTCATTTCCTGTCATCAGAGACATGGACCATTTTCCCTGTCTCCCACCTCCTCACGTGCATTCCACTAATAAGACCATCAAAGAGCCTGGGGTTTTCCTTGACGACAGACCACCGAGTCTATCCCGACCTATGCTGAGATCATCACCCAGGCCCAGAACAACATGAAGAAGAGAAAGGACAACCTCTGCCAGTTGAACCGGATTCACTGGAATGAATGGAGTTACTTTGACAAGTACCTAAAGGAGCAGCAAGACTGCTTCCTCAGGTACTGAAGGGGCTTTGGGTTTCAGCATTTGTTGTAGTAATTTTACAACAAAAAATGGCTGCAAAATAGTGACAGGGTTAGGTGCCCTCTGAATGAAAGTGACTAGGATGTAATTTTTAACCATGTGGTGTCTAGTCCTGTCACTATTTAAACACAGTTTTCTTGTGATCAAAATAAAACTCCACAATACAGAGAGCAAATATTTTTAAAATCATGTATTTTTCAAACCACAACAGCATTGCATGGTCAATGAAAGCAAACTCAAAAACTTAAAAATGCACAGAAATGCCCCTAGAGATCTACAAGGTTAGCATTTTCCTGTCAATCCAATCTTTTTTCTGAGTGTGTATGTGTGGAGTCCTGGTGCGGCGCTGCGGGTTAATGCGTTCGACTGCAAGGTCAGTTTGAATTATAAGATTGTTGGTTCAAGTTCACCAGCCACTGCTTGCAAACCCTACACAGAGTCGTGATGAGTTGGCACTGACTCGACGGCACTTAACAACAACAACATATATATTTGTATGTAGAACAAGGACACAACAAAGAGTCAACCTCTTTTTGGACTCCTGGTGTGGCGCTGTAGGGTAAGCACTGGACTGAAAACCACAAGGTTGGCGGCTCAATCCCACCAGCCACTCTTCAGAAGCCCTATACCACGTAGCTATGAGTCAGAACCAGCTCGATGAAACATGACAATAACAACAAACAAAAGTTGTGCATACTACACTCCTGTTAGGCAGACTTTATAGTTTCCCACTATAAAGTCAGAAGCTTTTGGGATTGTCGTGTGCTGGATGCCTTCTTCTATCTCTTTGTTTAGAAAAATTCCACACCTTTCAGAAAAGTGGGAAGGTTAGGCAGTCAACCCTCATGCGCCCTTTACGACATGGACCAAGGATTTACGTTTTGCCACATTTGCTTTCTCTTTCTAAAGTCTAGTCCAAGTTCAGATTTCCCCGTTATGTCCAAAGTGTCTCATTTTGGGATTTTGGGATTTATCTTCTGCTTCAAGATCCAGCATTGGGAATTGCATTTATTGTTGTATTTTGTTCATGTCTTTTATGTTGTTCGTGTCTTTGCAGCTGGAACAGTCCCCCTGCCTTTATTTTTAAAATTTTTCTATGGTGTGGACTTTTTTTTTTTTTTAGAAAGGTTGAAGCCACATCCTAGATTCTTCCAATTATTTCTTCAGAGGATCATTTTTTGGGGAGGGTGGGAGGTGGAAGGTGGTTTGTTTGATGTTTGTTGTTGTCATTAAGTGACGTAGAGTCTGAACCAACTCATATCGCTCCTGTATGTTTCTGAGGAGCAACTGGTGGGTTTGAACTGCCAACCTTGGAGATTGTAGTCCAGTGCTTATCCTGCAGTGCCACATCAGAACTCCTAGATAACTCAAATGGCAAATTAACCCTGACATTTCATTGGCATGACAGAATGACAGGAGTGGGCAGATGGCTCTATCACCTGCTGGGTACTTCATCTAGACCATGTGGCCTCGTTGTGACTGAGACAAGGGAAAAGAAACTGGACCATTGAACTGGGGCCTTTTGTCTCCTCAAGCACAGGAGTGACACGTGTCATTTCCCCTCACATCTCATTGGCTAGAATTAGTCACATTGCCCTGATATATTCCTTGACTTTAAGGACTATGTCTTATTCCTGTCTTTGTGCCCAGGCACCTATTACACAAGCAGACACTCAGCAAGGCCTCGGGGACTGAGTGGCTACTTTGTGTTCGTCTCTCTGCTTCAGTTGGTTACTTTTGCAGAGGTAAAGAATGAATTTGTAAATATTTGCCTCCTGGTACATATGAAGGAGTCCCTGGGTAGCACAAATGGTTAAGCACTCAACTGCTAGCCAGAAGGTTGGTGGTTCGAATCCACCCATTGGCTCCTCAGAAGACAGACCTGGAGGTCTGCTTCCAACAGGTCGGAGCCTTGAACCAGAACAGTTCTCCTCTGTATACATGGGGTCACCATGAGTCAGAATGGATTCGATGGCAACAAACACACCATACGAGGATGGGACGGAAGCCTGTGTTTCATGTGTGTCTTTGTGGTTTCTCCGCAGGGAGGTGAAGAACATCAATCAAAAAGCAGCGGAGAAAAAGAAGGCGAACTACACTTTTATCCCACCCTCAGCCTTAAATAATGAATATGTTGACAAAAAGTCCAGAGCAAGCCAACAGAGAGAGACAGAATTTCTCTTAAGGTTTGTTCAGTCACAAACCATAGAAAAAATAGAAGTGGGTCCACTGTAAGAATTCCTAGTACGCAAACTGCCAACAGTTCATCCAAAGATGGGAAGTTTGCGGACAGAGAGAGCCTAAGTTAATGGGGATGAAACAGTACAGGAGGCAGTGAGAAGGGTGACACAGTGTGCAGTTTGCAGCCAACTGGGAGCCCTGGGAGTCTAGTAGGTTATGCACTGGGCTGCTAACCACAAGGTCAGCAGTTCAAATCCACCAGTCACTCAGTGGGAGAAAGATGAGGCTTTCTGCTCCTATAAAGATTTACAGCCTCGGAAACCCTGTGCAGGGTCTCTGTGAGGCACACAACCTTCACCACCAGTATACGTCCAGTTAAATGATTCATGTTGAAACTGTGAATGGATATATGTTTGGGGTGTATATAGTATCACCCAAAATACAGGAAATATTATTTAAAAAGCCTTCCTACTACATCGCAAAAAGCCCATGAAAGTTCACTGGTGTCAGGAGAGTTGTAGTTAAATGACTCCATTCATGCAGGTGAATGTTCATGTTGTTTTTAGTATTATTATTAATGGTAGTAGCATGAGCTAGCAAAGATTTTTTACTTTCTCTATGCCAAGGATTGGGCGACTAAGTACTTTTATGAATGATTAGAGCTTTGGTTGCAAGTTCTGGGAAGCCAGCTCAAACTTGTGTAGGCAGAAGGAGAAGCTAGTGGCTAAGCAACTGGGAAGGTCACAGACAGGCTGGCTACAGGTACATATGGACCTAGAGACTCAATGATACCTCTCGATGTGTGGTTTCTTTTTCAAGTTATTTCTACCTGGTAGTGTAGTGACTCAGCATTGGACTGCTAACTGTAAGGTTGGCAGTTCAAACCCACCAGCTGCTCCGTGGGAGGAAGATGAGGCTTTCTGCTCCCATAAAGATCTACAGTCTTGGAAACCCTATGGAGCAGCTCTACTCTGTCCTATAGGATTCCTATGAGTCGGAGTGGACTCAATGGCAGTAGCTTTGGTGTTTTGGGTTTTCTGCCCTTAGAGAAGGAAAGAGGACGACAGACACCCCAGCATATATCATAATAGTGCATGATCTTAAAGGCAAGAGACACCTCCTCCCAGCCTCCAGAAACCAAGCCTCGGAGGAGTGTCAGATGGCTCTGCTCACCCACCTAGACCAGTCACTGAGTTCAGGAGAGAGCAGTGCTATGATTGATTAGCCATGCCTGAATGGCTCTGTCATTCAGAGAGCAGGGCACAGTCAATGACAGGGGTGAGGTGCTATCAACAGGTTCACTTTATTTCTATATCAGCAAAATTCTATCAAATATCATTGCCTCATTACACTAAATAGAGGTGAGGTCACCATTCACTGATGACCTCCTATATCAGGTTACTAGGGTCATAAAGAAATGAAGAAGTTGCAGTCCTTGTCCTGGGAAACAGACATGTAAACAGACAACATGCTGGAAGGTTTCATAGGTCTTAAGAGACAACTTCAAAAGGGAAGAACACCAGTTGCTGTTGAGTTGGTTCTGACTCATGGTACCCCCTGAGTATCCAAGTAGAACCGTGCTCCATACTGTTTTAATGACTGATCTTTCTTCCAAGGACCCTCTAAGTAGACTCAAATTTCCAACCTTAGCACACTCACCATTTGCACCACCTAGGGACTCCTAACCAAGGAAACAGTGGAGGGAATAGTTTTTTCATGTTGAGCAGGCACGTTGGGGACGTCCTGCCACATTACTGATTGATTTGTAAACTCTTCCACCCACCTTCTATCGAGAATCCAGGAATACCTTTGAAATCCTACTGAATTTTTGAGCCAATTTTTGTTTGCATCTTTTTTTGGTTTCCCCGTAGGGTGGGAAAGAAACTTGGATCATATAACTCTCTCTTCTCATTTCCAAGCTCTGAGGATGAAGAGCCCTCTGGAGATAAAATTCTGGCTGCCAGATGTGGTGGAATAACAACAGCTTAAGACTGGGAAATAGAAATACCTATTGGAAACCCTATGTAGGGTTGCTTTGAGTTGGAATGACCAGTCATCTGTCAGTTTGTTGTACTGTGATGACCTGCTTATTGCTGTGATTCTGGAAGCTAGACCACAGGTATTTTAAATGCTAGCAGAGTCACCCAAGGTGGACAGGTGTCAGCTGAGCTTCCAGATGAAGATAGACTAGGAAAGAGAGAGATAGACTACATCCAAATATTCAGTCACTGAAAACCTTATGAATAGCAGTGAAACACTGTCAGCACGAGAATATTGACTAATGAAACCTGATGAAAAGCACCAGAATATTGTCAGATATAGTGCTGGCAAATGATCCCCTCACGTTGGCAGGCACTCAAGATACGACTGGGGAAGAGCTGGCACAGTAGAGTTGACTGTGATGGAGTAAAGCCCTCAGGACCTTCACTTGCTGATGGAACACAACTCAAAATGAAGAGAAACAACCGTAAACATCCACTAATAATTGGAACATGGAATGTATGAGGTATTGAATGTAGGAATATTGGAAATTGTCAAAAATGAAATGAATGCATAAACATCGAGGATATCCTAGTCGTTGTTGCTGTTAAATGTTGTCAAGTGGGTTCCAACTCACAGCGACCCTGTATAGGGTTTTCAAGGAGTGACTGGTGAGCTTGAACTGCCAGCCTTGCCATTCGAACTTCCAGCCTTGCCATTCAAACTGACCTTGCAGTCCAGCGCGTTAACCCACAGTGCTACACCATACTAGCATTGGCCATTTTGAATCTGACAATTACATGGTTTACTATGCCAGGAATGACAAATTGAAGAGGAATGGTGTCGAATTCATCATCAAAAAGAACGTATCAAGATCTATCTTGAAGTACAATGCTATCTGTGATAGGATAATATTCCATATGCCTACAAGGAAGACCAGTTAATACTACTATTATTCAAATTTACACACCAACAAATAAAGCCAGTGATGATGAAATTGAAGAATTCTCTCAACGTCTTCAATCTGAAATTGATCAAACATGCAATCAAGATGCATCGATACTTACTGGTGATTGTAATGCAAAAGTTGGAAACAAAGAGGAATGATCAGTAGTTGGAAAATATGGCCTCGGTGATAGAAACAATGCCAGAGATCACATGACAGAATTTTGCAAGACCAATGACTTCTTCATTGCAAATACCTTTTTTTGTTTGTTTGTTTACCAATGCTTTCATTGAGGTAACTTTTCCCAATTTAATACATATATGTGTTTTATATATACTTAGGAAAGCTAAACAATGTTCTAAGGCACTTGGAATTGTGCACAGCAAAGTTTCCTATAATTATTGTACAACTAGATAGAGCATAATTTTGCTTTTAAATAACACAAATACCAGTATGGAATTAAAAACAAAACATAATACATAGTCTGTCTTTCAGGTTACAATGGTGGAATACATATACATATGTGTGTATTCTTGTAGATATTTATACCTACATACTATAATATTGTACAGAGAAAGAATAGTAAGAGAAGCAGTCATGTGACTCAGTGTACATTCCAGTTATTCATACCCACAGATATTATACCTGTGTAATAAGTAGGATTAGATCACTCACTGGAAATCAGGAATCATATCGTTCTGATAATGGTCACAGTTTATAATCACACAAACAATGATACATCCTTATCACCTTAGCCAATTTAGTTGCAAGACTCAAAGAATTAATGTAGTTTCTTAAAACTTACTGATACCTAGGGAAAAATGACGAGTTTGAGTTTTCAGTAGGTACTATGAGTCTGAATTGACTCGACAACACTTAACAACAACAACCCAACCAGTGCTGTTGAGTTTAATCTGACTCATAGCGACCCTGCAGGACGAAGAAGAATGCCAGTCCCCCCCGCCTCTCCCGCCAAGTAGGGTTTCCAAGACTGTAATCTCTACAAAAGCAGATTGCCACATCTTTCTCCCATGGAGTGACTGGTGGGTTCGAACTTCTGACGTTTCCGTTAGCAGCCAAGTGCTTAACCACTGCACTACCTGGGTGCTATTCAGTGGGTACCAGATCTGAAGAAATTGGTGCAGAATGTTTGGAATATGTTGGCCTCTTTCTAAGCCACAAAAGAAACGCTAAAATAGAAACATGAAAACGAGTGCCTACATTTTAGGTGAAAGTGGTTTGACCCTAGATTCATTCTGTTATATATACATATTTTTCCCAATACTAGTTAGCACTGCAGTGGCATCTTTTCTAGCAGTAGCTCTCTAAGCAATACAGTCCAAACAGAATAAAAACATCCAATAAGAAAAGGCCCCGCATATTGACAAGAGGCACAAATGAGTATAATTGGCATTTTCATACACCATGAAACTGACCTGAGGGTGGAGTGGCACTCTGCCTCAATTACTCCCTTCAGTTTATTCTTTAAAAAAAGAAAATTACTGCCATTTAAAAATATAAGAATTGAAAATACATTTTTAAAACAACATAGAAGATGACTGTATACATGGACCTTATCAGATGGAATACACAGAAATCAAACTGACTCCATCTGTGGAAACAGAAGGTGGGAAAGCTCCATATCAGCCAAAACAAGGCCAGGGGCAGACTGTGGAACAGACCATCAATTGCTCATATGCAAATTTAGACTGAAGCTGAAGAAAATGTCAAAGTCCACAAAGGCCAAAACATGACCTTGACATAGCCCATCCGAATTTAGAGACTGTCTGAAGAATAGATATAATGCATTAGACACTAAAGACTGAAGACCAGAAGAGTTGTGGGATGACATAAAGAACATCGTATAGGAAGAAAGCAAAAGGTCATTAAGAAGAAAGAAGGAAAAGATCAAAATGGATGTCAGAAGAGACACTGAAACTTGCTCTCTAGTGTAGAGATGCTAAAGCAAATGGAAGAAATGAGGAGGTACAAAAGCTGACCAAAAAATTTCAAAGGTCAGTTCAGAAACACAAAGTTAAATGTTATAACAAAATGTGCAAAATACCTGGAATCAGAAAA